CCGGGTTGCCGGGCGGCGACGCGGGCGGCTTTCTTCACGGCTCGTCCCTGCCGGCGTGTGACGTCACTGGTGTCCGCTGCCGTGACGGTCACGGGCTGGCGGCGCAGTGTCGCCACCCGGGGCCCGGAAGGGCTTCACGTCGGCGCGTGCGCTGGAGGATGGAACGGCGGCCGTTTGGAATCTGCGTGAAGTGACCGGAATGTGCCGGCGTGTTCGTCTCCACGCCGGCTGAACTGATATCGGACTGGAGAGACACGTTTGGCTGATCGTGGCTCAGATTTCAAGGGACCTTCACTGGGCCGACTGCCCTGGAATCAAGACTTCGACTGACACGCACCAGGCCGACTAGGCTGGAATCAAGGCTTCGACTGACACGCACCAGGCCGACTAGGCTGGAATCAAGACTTCGACTGACCCGCACCAGGCCGACTAGGCTGGAATCAAGACTTGGAATGACCTGTACCAGGCCGACTGCCCTGAAATTAAGACTTCGACTGACCCGCACCAGGCCGACTAGGCTGGAATAAAGACTTGGAATGACCTGTTCCAGGCCGACTGCCCTGAAATCAAGACTTCGACTGACCTGCACCAAGCCGGCTACGCTGGAATCAAGACTTGACCCGCACTGGACCGACTTTCCGGGAATTTCAATGGATCGGAAAGGCGCTGACATAGCGTGTCCAACAAACTGACATCCATTGAGCTGGCGCTATACAGCGCCCGTGCGGATCACCGCGCGTTCACACTAGAGATCTCCTTGACTGCCCGCGGACTATGCTTCTTTGTGTCTGTGGGTCGACCAGCTTCTCTCTGCGACGTCCCATTCCAGCTTAGTGAACACAACGTGCGCCTTCAGCGGTGAGCGGTCGCTGGGACGCCGGGCTCGCCTGCTGCCGTTGAACCCGCTAAGATGTCTGTCCGTGAGACAAAGTGCACGGATGTCGGGTTGTCCCGAGCTCTAAGGCCGGGAGATGCACCGATGGCACATTCACCCATACCACCGCATAAAATTTGTATCGCATTAATATGTATGCGAATACATGTCGACAGGTAGATCGAGGCAGACTTGTAAACCTGTGCATTAAAAGGTGTGATGTTGCCATACGCCATGCAAACAAATTTCCCCTCCGTGGCGGGCTAGGATGGTTTCTCAATGGAAATTGTTGGGACCTGCGCCCCCTCCCTATTTGCAAAGTTCATTATGCGCGCTGGCGAATGCGAACCAGGCCCGAAGCGGCGGGCGCGCGCCTGGCCGCTGGCGGGCCACCTCGACCTTGGTCGATCGCCCTCTCGCTCCTCGGGGGACCGGCTGACACCCGCAGCCCTGTACCGAGTGGCTGGCCGTGCCTCGGCGGCAGCACTCTCCCGGTGAAAAGGAACAGATGGGGGTCACGTGCTGGGCACATGTTCCAGCCCATCGCTGTTATTATTGAAGATGTCCGGCGGCGTTTTTCGCTGCTGGAGCCTGCCCCAGTTAACCGCGGGCGCGTCTTCAGCGGCCGAGCGAGACCGCAACGCGTAATTTCGCGAGTCCGGGCAGCGCCGCAGCCAACACACAGCTGGCTCATGCCCGCGAAAGCCGCGGAGCCGCGGCGCATGCACTGCGGAGGCCCCAGACTGCGGGGGCTGTCATTGGGGGAGTGGTCGGTGGGTCCTGCGCCGCGTGTAGCTGGCTCGTCAGTTCCGCGCGGCTCACGGCCATGGGAGCTGTGAATTTTAATACGATCGCGCCCAACATGGCCTCCGGATCTGGGCAGATGCGATAGTGGCGCCGTGAATGGCTAGACTTAGGTCCGATAGATGTGCCAGAGATCGTTGTGATGCGATGGCTGAATGCTTAAAGAATCAACGAAATGGCATGAGAATGCCCATTGTCCCAAGGGAGGACAGTATGGTCTTGTTTCAGATGTGAAGAAATATTTTTCGCGAATATAATTTCGGTTTGCTCTCTGTCGGTATCTCACAATAACTGAGTAGGGGAGGATGAGGATCTTGTGGGCATAATTCTGATAATGCTGATACATGGGTATCATATACTGGTACATATGGCATCATTCCGAACCACGGCCCCAGGTCAGCTTCACGGACCTCCGACACTGCGGTCGGACTTCCGCTCGATTATACACAAGTTGAATCGATTTCATGCCGTCTAAGCCACAAGAAATCGCTTTGCTTACGGCGGCTCTCACTGTCGTCTAGGATTCATTACACCACTGAAGCTTCGTTGCCGCCGAGTTTAGCACCCACCGTGTCGTGTGACCCCCATCTGCACCTCTCCCGCCCCCTCTCGCGGGGCATCCAGCTCATCCGTTGCGGATTCGGAACTAAAAATCGCGATAAGACCGTCGAATGCAGTCGGCGCGCTGCAGCCGGGCCCGCTTGAGCCGAGGTGCACACCTGCATGGCGGCCGGCGCTGCGCTGGCTCGCTCTGACCTTGTCTGCCGCCCGCCGGAGCCGCCGTGATGACCGCAAAGCAAGCAAAGCGCCACGCTTTGGCACCCGTCCAAATGAGGAGTGCAGCTCTTGGTGGTGGCGCGCGGCGACGGAGACGGAAAGTCCATCTACGTCAGCCGGCCTGGGGCGGGGCTGATGCTCCACCGCCGCGCGGGCCTGGGGCGGGGCTGATGCTCCGTCGCCGCGCCGGCGCCCGATTCCAACCGGCTGCGGCCGCAAACGTCAGCGATGCGGCTGGCGTACCGGGCGCGATGTCTGCGATGCGGCTGGTGTACTGGGCGCGATGTCTGCGATGCGGCTGGCGTACCGGGCGCGACGTCTGCGATGCAGCTGGCGTACCCGGCGCTACGTTTCCGATGTGGCTGGCGTACCGGGCGCTACGTATCCGATGCGGCTGGCGTACCGGGCGCGATGTCTGCGATGCAGCTGGCGTACCGGACGCGACGTCTGCGATGCGGCTGGCGTACCGGGCGCGACGTCTGCGATGCGGCTGACGTACCGGACGGGACGTCTGCGATGCGGCTTGCGTACCGGGCGTGACGTCTGTGATGCGGCTGGCGTACCGGGCGTGACGTCTGTGATGCGGCTGGCGTACCGGGCGTGATGTCTGTGATGCGGCTGTCGCACCGGGCGAGACGTCTACGATGCGGCTGGCGTACTGGCGTAGTGGCGTATCTATCGCAACGCCAGCGGTGCGGCTGGCGTACCGGACGTGACGTCTGTGATGCGGCTGGCGTACCGGGTGAGACGTCTGTGATGCGGCTGGCGTACCGGGCGTGACGTCTGTGATGCGGCTGGCGTACCTGGCGAGACGTCTACGATGCGGCTGGCGTACCGGGCGAGACGTCTGTGATGCGGCTGGCGTACCGGGTGAGACGTCTGCGATGCGGCTGTCGTACCGGGCGTGATGTCTGTGATGCGGCTGTCGTACCGGGCGAGACGTCTACGATGCGGCTGGTGTACTGGCGTAGTGGCGTATCTATCGCGACGTCAGCGGTGCGGCTGGCGTACCGGGCGTGACGTCCGCGGTGCGGCTGGCGTGCCGGGCGCGGCGCGCTCGCCGCACCGCTGCTGTAGATTCCCGCGGCGGGGCAGACCCGGAATTTTCCGTGTTTACGGCGCCTGGGGCCTGGCGCTGGCCGCCGGGAGTGACCGGTTGGCTGTGGTGGGTGCGGCTGGGCCTGGCCGCGTGGCTGTGGTCGGCGTCAGCAGAGCCCATCTACGTGCCCAACGAGGTCTCCGTGCCACCGCCGCACACACCGCAGGTCAATTTATCGTCTGTCTGTGACCCGCTCAGACGAATTCGTCGCTGATTTGGCCGCGAATTACCGTGGGCATGGCCGGGTTGGGTCGGGTTCACGCCGTTCCCAGCACCCGCTGGCCCGGCCGCCGACATGAGCGCCGCCCGACCGGCCGCGGTGGCTAACGGCACATGCCGATGCGGGCCGCGCTCCTGCTGCCAGCTGGCGGAAACTCGGTGTACTCATGGTTCGCACGGCGATCGATAGTCGATTATGGCCACTGGCCACCACGCAAGCGCCGTGAGACATGCTGCAACGGCCTGCGCTGAAGGCAGATCCGCTGAGGAATGCTGCTAGCAGCACAGTTGTTTTGTTTTGTGCCAATAGCATAACTGCTCTGCGTGGACGTTCATCTGTCCGTTGTTTTGCTCACTGATCTGGAGCTATGAAATGGGAGGGATATTTACCGCGACGGCGGCCCATTGCCTCTTCTCTTGGGGTGCATTGGATAGATTGGCATCTCTTGTTTCTTTGCCAGTTTTCAGATACCAAAAAAGGCACTGGTGCGCCGTCCGTTGTGCGCCTGCCTCTCACCCGATGTCTCTGAACTGCCGGTGTCTGATGACCGACGGTCTCTGTTGCCTACCTCTGGTAACGCACCGTCTCTGTTGCCTGTGTCTAATGACTGGCGGTCTCTGTTGCCTGCCTCTGGTGACTCACCGCCTCTGTTGCCCGTGTCTGATGACCGGCGGTCTCCATTGCCTACGTCTGGTGACGCACGGACTCTGTTGTCGTGTCTGATGACCGGTGGTCCCTGTTGCCTTTGTGCGGTGACGTACCGACTCTGCTGCCCGTGTCTGATGACCGGTGGTCCCTGTTATCTATGTCTGGTGACGCACCGACTCTGCTGCCCGTGTCTGATGACCGGTGGTCCCTGTTGTCTATGTCTGGTGACGCACCGACTCTGCTGCCCGTGTCTGATGACCGGTGGTCTCTGTTATCTATGTCTGGTGACGCACCGACTCTGCTGCCCGTGTCTGATGACCGGTGGTCTCTGTTATCTATGTCTGGTGACGCACCGACTCTGCTGCCCGTGTCTGATGACCGGTGGTCCCTGTTATCTATGTCTGGTGACGCACCGACTCTTCTGCCATCGTCTGATGACCGGTGGTCCCCGTTATCTATGTCTGGTGACGCACCGACTCTGCTGCCCGTGTCTGATGACCGGTGGTGCCTGTTATCTATGTCTGGTGACGCACAGACTCTTCCGCCCTCGTCTGATGCGTTGTTTTCCCTGTTCGCAGGCTGGTCGTCGGCCTTAGTCTGGCCGTAGCGCTGATGCTGTTCGAACTGCTCGGCTTCTTCCTCGGCATATCCATGTTCATGCCCACGGCGGCCATGACCTGTATCCTTTTGGGTTATCAAAGGTCGGCTGCATTCTGTTCTGCAAGCCATTGGTTGTATTCCGTGTTGGCCTGAGGTATTGGTGGAAGGTGTAATGTATTTCCGGTTTTGAAATTGGTCATATTTTTTAGTCAGGTGTTGATTTTGGAACGCCAACGTGTTACGCATGGACTTAACTACCATTGGGGACGTTGGCGTCCCGACCCCAGTAAGTGTTGGGCATATTGGACTGTTCTGCGTTTTTGGCATATTGAACCATTGCTGTTTATTTCTAACCCACCTGAAAGTTTATTAAAATTTTAAACAGATCCCAGTAACCAGCAACGTTTAGGTTGTGATTAGGTGAGTGGCGGTACATTCATGATCATTCAATTGCATTTTTGTCGCATCTGTGGTTGTCAGTTGTTGTCTAGTAGCAGACGTCGGTGGCATCTTTTTATAGGGATCGGCTGTTAGCCCCACCCCCCCCCCCAAAAAAAAAATCGCCTTTGGCTTTGGCGTGTGCCAGCTGCGTCAGACTCTCCCAGTGCGCCGGGGGTTACAGGGGTTACAGGGGTTTACAGGGGTTTATTTTTTACAGGGGTTTTCCCTTCGTGGTGCAGTACCTCCACCAAGCTCTAGCTCAGCATCGGAGCTTGGAGAGAAGAGCGCCGCAAAGCGGTTTTTTTGCAGTATTTCGATTCGTAACCAGGTGGAATTGGTGCTGCCGGTAACGCAAAGTTGCTTTCAAATTACCAGCAGGGTAATGTGGTTGCCCTTGGTTTGTGAGCCCTCATGCTGAAGATAACTAAATTAAGACACAATTAGGTGACTGTGAAAGGAAAATATCAAGCAGGAATATACCAAAAAGAAGATATCAAAAGATATCAAACAGCCATTAGGATGAGTTATGACATGAGGCGCTGAGATTCTGCTGCTAATTTGTCATGTTATTTCCTAATGATTGTCTCGCATTCGCATCACTCGATGCCACTTGGGTCGTCACGCTTTGGAATTCGTGTAATAGGCATCGCTTTCACTTTGAACCACTCACTGCAAGTAAGCTCAGTGGCCTAAGGATGATATTTTTTCCAGCGGTTTCTCCGCACGTAACGTGAGTGACGAGTCATTGGGATCAATTACCTGTAAGTTGATCTCGTGTGGTCAGCCGGCGCCGCGCCAGCCGCCAACGTGTACTGCCTCGTTGCACCTGCTAGCCATGTTCATGCATCGCGGTGAAAGGTGTGGCGAGGTGTGTCGCGTTCTCTTTACAAAGAGAACTATAAGAAGATTCACAGCGCGTCGTGAAGGGAAATTTAGATTCGTTGCATATATATTTTATTTGGTTTATCTGGCCCAAGCGGTATGCCAACTGGATGCTGCGTTTTACTCACGAACCCGTACATGCTCTGGGATGTGCCTTGATTAACGCACAATGACCAACTTGCATGAACACCAGTCAAGTCAAGAACACCAGTCAAGTCAAAATCTCCCCAATTACCAACCTCTCAATCAGCTGAGACTTCACTTTGTCTGCTCACGGGCTCTTCACTTTCGCCTGCGATTGTTCTTGGTCGTCTGGAGGCCTAAAGACGTCCAATTTTGTGGGTTGTGTCATACAACTGTGTGTTCGGACAGTTATGGGCCTTTTCGGGGCACAAGGAGGGGGGGGGGGGCATGGCCCTCTGAATCTGCCACTGGCCCGAACAGCTTAACAAATGGGGCCCCAACGAGAGCATGGGGCCCTCCATTTAAATAGAGGCACCCAAGACGCGGTGTGGAGGGCTCGGAACGATCGGGTGCGTCCGAGGAGGTGCGCAGATGAGCCCCAACAAGTGGGGCCTTCCATTCAAATAGGAAATACCCTAGACCCCGTGTGGCGGGCCCCTGAACGATCGAATGTGCCCAAACAGGTTAACAGATTGGCCTCCGACAAGGGCTTAGAGCCCTACGCAAGTGTCAGGAATTTGAAGGGCCCTCGACCAACGTAGGGGGCCCATGAGCATATTGCGAGTGGGTCGGTAGGTTAACCGAAGCCAACGTGAAGGGCCCCCTGAACAACCGAGAATACTTGGGCAGGTTAACATGTATGGTTCCGGCTAAAGTGTACAGAGGCTTTCGGGCTAATGGGAAGAATCCGTGGAAGGCCGCTGATCGACGAGAGTGCCCGGCATGCTAGCAGAGAGGACCGCGACAACAGCCCAGGGCCCTCCGAGCAAGTGCAAACAAATCAAGAGCACCGTGGAAGGCTCCTTAGTGATCGGATTGGCCCTGCAAGTGGACATATAGGGCCTCGGGAACAGCGTGGGCTTCTTTACAGCGTAATGAGCCTTGAAATCTCCCAATCACCACCCTCTCAATCAGTGAAGAAATATTTTGTCTGTTCCTAGGCCCCTCGCTTTCGCCCGCACTTGGTTGCCTGTTATCCCGAAGACATCCAATGTTGCGTTTTGTGTTTAAAAAACTGCGTCTGTTCAGCCGGCTACAGGCCCCTTCGAAGCCTGTGGGCCCCTTCGGGAGCCAAGGGGGACCATGGCTCCGTGCCCTCCCCCCCCCCCCTTTAGGATCCACCACTGGCGGAGTCCCGCCGTCTTTGGCCCATCCCCCAGAACCTGTCCCTGAGAGGTCATAGTGCTGGTTGTCACGAAACACCATTCTCTACGACCCACATTTCGCTTGCCCTGGGATGGGACGCTCGCTTCCTCGTGCATGCGCACAACTCGGCTGCGGCCCCTGCATGTCTGTGATGGCTGTCCCTGCCACCTAGCGGACTCCAGTGCCGGCGCAGCTGACACTTCTGGTGGATGCCACCTGGCGGCAGGTACCCGAACCAACTCACCCGTGGTGTCAGGTACAGCCGGACCTGCGTCACACCCGACAGACGGCTCCCGTGCTTCCTCCCGCTCACTCGCACAATGTCGGCCGCTGAGCGGCAGGCGAGCCCCGCACGGGGGCACGTGAAATACTTCACGTGGCGTGCCGGAGCCTGGTTGTATTTCTCAGCCAGCTGTAACTCACCTGGCCACATATCCCCCGAAACACTTCTCAAAATGGTAGGATTTATCATTTATGGGAAAAAGTGACGGTGTTCAGTGTACCTTCGCACCATGTTTAGGCCAGTCTTGGATATTGTTCTGCGCTAAGACAGTTTCCCCCGTATAAAAATCAGAAGAATCAGAAAACGAATGGCCAAAACCCAGGACTGCGGAGGAAGGAGTATAATCCAGGTGATATTACCAAGTCGGGTGCCTTCGTCAAGTTGGCATTAGATTCAGATTCATATTCGGGTCGACACTCACCCGGCAGCGGGCTTTCTATTGACCTGAAAATTTGCCCAAAGCTGTAGCGTGACCTTGTGATCGCGTTAAAGACAGGAATCAAGGCTGGCGCGCGATGTCCTGCAGGCCCTACGCCTATTACGGATGAACGGAGTTGAAGTGTAGTTGTGGAGTGTAAGGCCATAACATTTTAAACGGTCCCCCTCGGTTTTCGCCAAAACTTGTGTAAAGATGGATTTTGATCTACTCATCACGACAAGCACAGAGGCCGCAGCGCCAATCACGGGTTTTCTAGCAGATCAAAGTTGCGAATGCCGATCTGCATATAAATCAGAATCTCTCGCCAACTTGACGAACCAATGTTGAGTGGTCTCCTCTTGACGAAATCCTGGATCCGCCCCTGTGTCAGTGGCAGATATCTATATCTTTACTCGTCCCGCTGGCGAGGTGCGTCTACTGTTCACAGCAATAAAGAACAATAAGCTTAGATGTAATCAAAACAGTGTGCATATTGGTAATGGGCAACTTCCACACAAACTGAAGTTGTGCCTCCATATTACCAAGGCGACACTTAAATGATTTAAAACAATAAAGGAAAACAACAACGTAAAAAATTGGTTGAATTTTATGAGGAAAAATTCCAACTGACTCACTTTTCTGTCCGACTGACAACTGACAACTAACCTTGTGTGATAAAATTATACCGATTTGGTCTGTGGAGTACAATGTTAACCCGAACAAAGTTGCGGAAGGGGGCGACGCCCCCTCTCCTGGTCTTAAAGTTTCGGAAGGTACAAGTACTCCCTGCCCTCTGCCCCCCTCCCTCCCCCCTCCCACTCCCGCGCCCATGATTTCCAGCATAAGAACTCAACGCAGAAAAGGCGTAGGCAGGCGGCCTTTCTCCGTTTATCTCAAGACTGCACTAGTACTTCATCTCGGGACGGCTAGATGGCGATACTTGCTGGTCGTCACAAAATTCCGGCGACCACTGAAACTTCATTACAGAGGCTAACGGTCCCAAAAGCTGGCCCACGCAACTCGTAGGACGTCATAGCGTGGGGTGTGTGGCGGTTTATTGACCAGACTGGCGGTGTCACTCCGAATGGTTCGGCTCTCCCAGCATCTGAATGAATGAAGATTATGAGGGCGGAGACCGTTAATTTATTCCGAACGGCTTGCATGCATGGCTCCGTGTTCAGGATACTTGCTAAACATAGCGTGTTGCGTGTACCCGGAACACGCAGACCAAGCTGTGCGGTCCAGTGGCTCGTTGCACGCCTCGACCCCCTTTCGCCGGAGAGGACTGTTGAGCGTCACACGCGCCGCACAATGCTGCGGCGCAGTCGTCCGGGGTGGACGGTCTCCTGTCAATGTCAGCGTCAACCTCGCCGCGATCCCAATGGGGTGTTCGGTTGTCTGGGGGTGTGTTCGATGACCGTCTGTTGGTGCGAGACTGTCTGAGGGTGTGTTCGATGACCGCGTGTTGGTGCAAAACTGTCCAGGGCCCCTGTCTTTTTCTCACGCTGGTTCGAATCCGTCCAGGTTACTTTTACGGACCCCACATCCGCCGGTATTTGGTTACGCCAATGACATTGCGTGCATTGGGAGAGAATCCGACGCTGTTGACTCCCTGCCCGCAGGGGCGTTTGCTGGCCAGCGATCGCTACTTTTGAAAATTAACACGC